CGTTTCACTAGGGTATTTTAATCAGTTGCAATCCTGTACATTCGGAAATACTTTGCCAATAAAAAAAAAATTGACACCGACGGTAATTTTTGTATTGAACACGGATTTTTTAATGATTTTTAAAGATTTTTTTTAGAATTTAATCTTTTCTCCGACTTCAAAAAGTTCATTTTCTCATAAGACTGTGTTGATTTCTCACATTTCAATTAATTTCTATCAACAACACTAGACTCCCAACAGATCCCGAAAACCCAACCACAATGTTTTCGCTCCTATAAACTCTCATTCCGAATTTATTTCAGATTTTAATCTTCCGAATTTCGGTAACATTTACACAACTTCAAGTACCATTAAATACTAGTCGTCATAAAACGATAAACGAGAATTTTCAAAAGCATAAAACGATCCTATTGTCAGTATTACACGCATGAAAACCACGTTATTCGCGTGTGTCGTGTTTACACATGCGCTATTGCACTTCTCGTCTGTTTCGTCACAATTTTAACAGCTGAAGTATCGTGCAAGGCATGCGCACACGACACCGTATGCTCCGGGCGTGTCGGTGCCACTCGTGCTAAAGCTCGCGCGCCGTTTACCAACTACTCGTAGCGCGTACCTCACACTGTGAAGAGAGAAAAAAAAACAACATACACACACACCTCTCTGACCCTCAAGCAATTCCCTCCCCCCCCAGCGGGCAGAGGTTTGAAAATTCAATGCACTCATAATGGGCTATATGCATAACGGAGCGAAAACACTGAGGGCTATCGTCTCAACCACTTTAACCCCATACAACTGGTGACTTTGGACACAAGTTTTAGCCTCGATTTTACTGATAAGTATGCCCCACCCCATTCTCGCTCATTGTGTGCATCCCTCAGCTCACTTTCTCATTTGGGTTTCTATCGCGTGGACTACGTTTCCTATGATAAAACCACGCCACTCGACGGTGCCAACACCCCCCCAAAGGCGCTTTCTCTTCTCTTTCAAAGTTACAGAGCAGGCCAACCCCTTTCTACCCTGGGTTCGACACTCCACCGTCTGCTTTTATACCACCCCAGCGGCCCACTAACCGTCAACGTACTCACTCGCACAAGAATAGAATTGTCCTCTGCATTATTTACTCAATATCGCACTCTCCCATCCTCTCTGTCTCTCTCGTTTTACTCCTAGAGGGCTGGGCCCCCGCCGGTTGAAATCTCTTGTGAAGACATTCTCTATGAATTTCATTCAACCCTCTTTTTTCAGCGCTATAGACGCCGAAGTCGAGTCTACGAAGCGCGGAGATTCATGTGGATTTTTGCAATATTGAAATTTATTGGTGCAGTAAATTGAAGTGTACATTCTTTTGCAAATTTCGGGAAGTTGTTCACATGAAATGTTGGACTCCATGAAAACATGTGTTCACATTTTCAGTGTTTGCCATTTTGAAAATTCAGTAAAATTTTTGGTATTGAGAGATCATTGATATTTTAGTTGAAGTTTTCATAAACTGAGTTTAGAAAAATAATTGATTGAATTTTCAGACTTTGAAATAATCTTAATTGTTGTGTAGAATTTAAAAATTGAAATTTCAGTGAAATTTCAATTTTTTGAGAGTGTTGAATTTGACTTAGAGAGAAAAGGCTCATAAAATTCCAAATTTTACCTGAAAATTCAAGTAAGTTAACTAATTGAAAGTAGAACTAAAATGGAGAGTCCACAATTTACTTGGATTATTAATTGAAAATGAATATTTAGTATCTAATTGACCCTCGTGATCCTCTGTTGATTAAAAATTCAATTATTTTGTTCAACCATTCTCTCTTAATTTTTGCCATGATTAAACTGAGATTTGACTGATTATCTCACGCAATTATGTTTTTGGACATGTGTACCAGGAATTGCTGCCGAGAATGTTAATTTTTTTCGCAATAGTTTTATTGAATCCCGAGCTTTTTTCATGGTTTCCAAAGAAAATAAATTTATTGAATTGAGAAATAAAATTGATTCATATTCAAAAGTCTAAGATCGCTCGAAATCTCTCTTGAAGACCTCCCCCATGAGTGGCATTCAACCCTTTCCAACCCGACTCCACGAATCTCGAAGATTCATATCGATTTTTGTGGTATTCTTCCTCAGACGAATAATCAAATTTATAGTCGAAGATATTGCAAGTTGGTGGATCAAGTAAATTGAACTATAAATTCCCTCCACCAATTTCTCGAACGTCATAAAGTTTTTCGGACTCAATATTCAATAGGATAAATTCCCAAAACGAGGAAATCAATATTATCCCGTGATAAAGTGAAACGGAAACAATTATTCGCAGCTCTGGCAAAGGGGAATAATGGAAAAAGCCACTTGAGTGAAAAATGGGATTACTAAGTTGGATAACATAAAAAGAATGGAAACACTGAAGACGAGACTTCGTCAGCCTTTAAATGCGTGAAAAAGATGTAAAAAAAGGATGTAATACAGCTACTTAGAGTTAAGGCAAGGGGGAAAAAGCATGAAAAGGAGTGAAACTGTTTGAGTTTGTGCAAGCGGCCTCGTAAATTTTTCATTCCCAGTCGTCTAAACACCTGAAGCGCAGCAGAAGCCGCAGATTCTGAGTGAGCCCATTAAAATTTCATAACATTAAATGCTCACGCGACCGGACGAATGAAAAATATACAACGATTTTCTAGGCATGTGGAGTGTTGAGCCTACATACTTATGATACAGATACCTTTTGGGATGGGAAAATTTTTGGTGTGACGAGTCACGTGAATGAGAGCGGGAGGATTTTCAACGGGTCAGTGAGCTGAATTAAACGTATTCACGGGACCGCGATGACAACGTTCTCAATTCGTCTGAAAATTCGTTAGTGACGTTTTAGCATTTCTACCGTGTTTTATGCTTATGGAAAATATATAGAGAAAATCTCCCGGAAAAATCACGTGATGACTCGCGTAATTGGGTGGCTGAATATGTTTTCGGGAATTTTTACGGACATTTTGGATTAACTGTGAGGCAAAAGACTAATACTCGGGGAATTTAATTTAATTGATACGAAATTTTAAGTGATGGAGTGATATTTATGGAGAAAGTTTGGAAGGGTAAGTTTCTCGAGGTATTCTCGGTGAATTTTAACGGCACAGAATTGGAAAAAACTGAAATTTCATGGACATTGGATTCGATTGAAGGGGAAAAATAATGGAATTTCAAATTTTACTGGGAATTCAATGAAATTCTGTTTTTTAGCCACAGGAAGAAAATTCCTCAATTTACTTGATGTCTCGATTAAAGGATGACTATTTGGAACCATAACATGTTGAATTTTCAATTGATTAATAATTTCAGAATATATTTCCCTGAATTTTCCGGATTTTTATTAATTTTGATGGAATAACTTGACTAAAATTGACGGATTTTTCCTTAAAATTATGAATTTTCATTGACGAAATGCCTTGCATTTCTGTATCATCCCCGGGCTATTATTCCGTGAACCTTAGATGTTTTCAAGGCATAAATTGTATGATGGGAAAATTGAATATATTAGTCGATAAAATCCCTTGAATTTGGAATTACTTCAAATTTTAATGAAACTCTAGTGTGACAAAAATTCCCAAATAGTTTACACAAAATTACGTTTTGGATCACACTTTTTCCGTGCTCAGGCCCAAATTTTTCCGGGTTCTTCCTGAAAATTTGCGCTGCAAGCAATAATTTTTATGGAATCGACCTCCCAATTACATTTTAAGTTGCAATTCTCAAGTTTCTCCCATAGTACTTCCACTAAAATTTATTTCTCCACCTATTATTCGCATTATGATTTGCTTCCTACATTTACCCAGATTCAAACATTTTTAAATAGTTCCCGAGGGAGAAGAAGGTGTGGGAAATGGTAAGAACTTTCAAATGTGGATAAATTCGTCTGGGGAGAGCTTCAGCCCGAGTAATCGAATTGAATTTAGTTGATCGGGCTCGCAATCAGCGGCAAATATCACGGGCCGTTGAGCAGATCAGAGAACTTAAAGGCTCCATCCATCCTCCTTCCGCCGGAGAAAAGGAGAAAATCCCGACTGCATTGATTTTTTTTAAAAGGTGCTAATGGAAAATATATCATTCCGAGGAAATGTTTCATCTGCTCCCGTTCTTCCCAATGAAACTGCACTCCCAAACTCCCGAGTTATGGAGAAAATAGTGATAGGAGAATAAAAACCATATGAATCTTCGTACCCCTTCCTTTATCCGACAATCGAATTCCAGAATAGTCCGATTCATTTCATTTTGAATTAAATTTTGCAGGAATTTTTTCATTGAACCACGCGGGAGCTCTTGAATTGAAAAAAAAGTGGATAACACAGGCAAAACGCTTAGCAGCGTCGACTGGAGGTATTTGATAGCACGATAAAAATTCAGTGGAATCCTTTAGAGCGCGTTCAGCGGTGAGAATAGAAAAGAGTGAAAAAGAAAGATTAAAAATGAAGGAAAGGGGGGGGGGAACCATCATAATATTTGAAAGAAAAAAATAAAATCGAGGGCTCTTCCAACAAATAGATCCCGGAGAATCCATACGCTGCTGGAGGTTCTTTCACCTTGGACTTCAGAGAATTCGATTCACGCCGGAAATGTCTGCAGCGGAAGACTATTTCAGCCTCTAATGAGATCGGTGGCATCCGTACTGCCGTCTGTGATGCAATAAGGGCTGAAAAGATCACGGCAATCTAGTCACGTATAACTCAAAGATATTTGCATCCAAGGGTAAACTCGTGAATCTACAATAATCATGAAATATTTCAGCTTAGAAGTATTCGAGAAATTTGTGATGAAGGAGACGTGATAAAATTTACATTTCTCTCTGTAGTATTGAAATTGTGAGGTGAAGTTATTCACAACATACTTGCTTTGAGATAAACAATTCCGCCATATCTCCGAAGTAATCATAAACTCAGAATTTACGAACGAAAACACAAGGCAAATGGTGAATTCTGCAAATAGAGATGAATATTGTAATGATGGCATTCTATACTCACATTGTTGCTGTTTGTTAATCCGTTCATGCTTGTCAGTGACTCGTGTCCAATTCTCACAATGTATTCTCAGTCTACTTAGCCAGTGTTCCAATGTTAAATGGAGAAATGTACAATTGATCACTGAAAACGTGAGGAATTTATCTCGTTTACATTGACTTTTTAATAAAAATATTCAATTCAACAGCGGTTTTTGTGATTCAATGAGCTAGCGTGGGAAATGAATTTCGTTATGGCAACCTTTCCCCACGGAAATTGCGCGGTGAACTGGCACCTCGCGAACGCGCGGTCCAGCATCCCTCTCAGCATCCAACCACCGAGTGGATCCGGGCACGCGCGAAACTCCATCCTCTCCTCGCCCCCTCCCTTCGGTCCCTCACTCACTCGCTTCCTCTCTCATTCACTGGTTCTACCTCAACCCCTTTGGTTCTTACCACCTCTTCACTCTGGGATACGTTCGTTTTATCCCTTTCCCCCTTATTTCACCTCTTTCCTCGTCTCTTTCGTTTTACCCTCACCAAAAATTTCATCCACCGTTAGGTCGTCTCTCTTTTTTTCGCACCCGCTGCTTATTCCTGCCGCGCGTGCCTCACACCCTGTCATGACGCGCGAACCACCTCAACGCCAAAAAGACTGTCAGGGGGAAGGGGAATGTTGAAGGAAAACGGAGTCTCGAATAATTTTTCCATGATTCGACGGATTCGTCTGGCTTTTGATTTTTCAGGGGCTTTAAATTTTCACTATTTCAGAATGATTTCGGCATAATTATAATGGGGGAATAAAATCATTTTAGTACATTCAAAGGAAGTTAACTGTGTGGGACAATATTTATATTTTTACACGGAGAGAAATTTTCTAGAAAAATTCTCGTACGAGTACTGGAAAAAATTGTAATCCACTGGCTGTGAAAAATTCTAGTGCTGTGAAGGTAAAATTTCTTGGAATTTCTGGTAAATTTTCTGGAGACGTTTGTGAAATTTTCACAGAAATACGGGGATAAATTCACGTTTTCTCCAATAGAATTTCTATTGCCGACACTGAAATTTTTTACTGGCCGTCACATTGCGCCTCTTTTCCCGTGCTAGCACTAGAATTCTTCTAAAAACTTTCTCTCCGTGTAGTAAATTATTCGTCAATCATTTTTTCAAAATTTCGAACTATTCTGCCAATTAGTAATTGAGTTGGAAAGATTGAGGATTATTCGATTAATCGAAAAATCAATTCAAGAAATTTAGAATTATTTGCTTGATTAAAACTATTTTCAAATTTCAGTGAAGATTAGTGAACTTGAATTATTTTAAGGTAAACTTCTTTTAATATTAGTAAAGTAATGGCTAGGGCCGATCTCTGAGCTACACTCTTGGAGAAAAGTTTTGATTAATTCAAAATTCAAGAGTATATTTCGGTGAATTTCGCAGTTTCCATTGATTTTTTCATGAAGTTTTAATTGTAAATTACAAAGTTTCTTGAAATTTCGGTGGAACTATAATAAGGTGAATATTTCCAAGATGTGTTCCAATTCCGGCCAAAAATTTTCAACAATGCACACTTTTTTGAAACTTACTCATGAATTTTCAACTACAAAATGTTTAAATTAACAACAACGTTTCATATAAAATTTGTGAGAAAATCAATGAAGACTGTTATTTTTAGTGCAGTTATTGATTAAAAATCCGAAAGAATTTGGAAAATTAAGGTGAATATAACTCTTGAATTCGAATCTAAGAATTCGAGTAATTTTTGAAAATTCTTTCTAATTTTTACTTGAAATTCCTTGAATTCACTTAATGAAACTTGAAATTTCATTCATTTTCTCTTCTAAACCAAATTCACTGTTACTGTTCTAAAAATGATTAAACTATGTATGAAATGTCAATTTTTTAACCGACCAATTAAATTAATTAAACAAAATCATAAGTGTTTTATTTTCCAAGTAAAAATGTTGAGATCTTCGCGATGAAAATGTCAAAGCCATCTATTACCGGAAATCGATAATCACAGTCGCGCCATCATAAATAAAATAGAAAAAAATCTTCTTAAATTAATTTTCCAAAAATCTACATTTTCTCCTTGAAATTTCGTAATCCTACTCCTCCATATTAAAGAGAATAGCCCCCACTATTTCGCAAAGACTTCTAATTGTGTGTTACGTGCCCCTGAATGAAGAAGTTTGATAAAAACTCGCCAACCCAAACAAATACAGTTTTCATGTAGTTGGTAAAACTTTACACTGTAGAACCTTTTCTCCTCTCAGATTCGCGACAAGTATGAAAGCTGCTCACGGATTAATTATTAACAATATAATACACCTCAGTGGAGCACTTGGTAAAGTTAAATTAGGGAGAGAGTCAGCTTACACTGTGAAAAGTTAAGTATAACGAATGATTCACCGGACTCTTGGGGCATGGCTGAGACATATCCACGGAGGTTATAGCATCTTTGGGAACTCCCAAAGATCGTTACAGTGAGTAAATTTTTCAAGTGTAGACTACTTCACTTCAAACTCAGACCATAGAAATTCGCTTAAAGGAGAGCCAGGAGCTCAGGTCCTTTCACGGTGAAAAAGAGAGTGGAGAGAGGATTATCAGCATTGAGAATTATTTTCGCAGTGCAAATTTGATTGAATAAATAAACCACCAACTTTGCACTCCTTTTACCCAACATCTCATTACCCTGTGGAGTCAATTTATGGGATAACGAGGGAACCAATTACAGTGTATACGCATGCATGATGAATAGCCATTTGCCGCTTCCACGATGATTGATTTAAAAATTCTCAGTAATTAAACGAATACTAGAATATTTCAGCATCAAGTAGATGTCTGATTGGATGTATTCACCTCGGTGGGCAATGTTTTAATCATTAACATCGAGGAATTGATTTTGAAAATATTAGAGTCATAAAGAGAATACGAGAACATTTCACGAACAAACGCATGTCTGATTGAATGCATTTGCCGTGATAGTCACTGCTCGGAATGATTAACGTGAATTGTCAGTTTATTTCCAGTTGGACACTATCGGTGTTTTTTCAAATGTTGAGAACTTATCGAATTGTGGATGAAATAGGGTTATTTTTTTTGTGAAAGATACGATTCTTCGCTTTTGTGATGAGCTGAGATTGAACTCAATTGATACGATTGTTTCTGAGTTATGAGAATTTCATATGAATATATTCACCTCGATTTTTTCATCAAATTATGATTTTTTAATGACGAGTTTTCCGGAAATTTCAGTGAAAATGAAGCAAGTGAAACGCCACAATTTGAATTTTCAATTCAATACAAATAGTCAGAGTTGAATTGAATGTCGAATTGAATTTTCAATGTTTTGAGTACTCGAAAATATATTTGAATGATTTTTACTGAATAATTGTATTGAAATTCACTGTTATTAATTTTTTCATTAAATTGTGAATTTTTAATTGCGATTTTTTTCATTCTATTCTGTTTTCTATAAAACTTATTTTATTGAGATATTTTCTATAGAATTTCATCAGCTCAAATTTTTTTTTCATTCTATTTTTCTTTTCTTTCCATCAAGAAAATCTGCCAAAAATTAATAGAAAGTTCAATAGAAATTCGATAGAATTGCTTTGCGAATTCGGTGGGTTTTTCTATTGAATTTTTGCATATTTGCGAGTTCGCTTCGTTCGATTAGATCGCGGTTCTTCGGGCCTAGTGTCATAATAGTGTATTTCCCTACAAGTGCGGGAATAGCAGAATGAACGACATCGCGTATGATCGATGCCAGCGCGGAGAAGAAGCTGAAGGGCCAATGGGAGGGGTTTAAGCGGTTAAAACAGAAAGTGGAAGAAATTGCTAATGAAACGAGCGCATTCTGGAGTTGAGGAACAAAAAGTATCGTGCACAGTGGGGAAAAAATAGCATTTGACGTTTAAACCCCGTTGGTAAGCTCTCATGCCTCTTATTCTCATTCCTTATTATGTTCATTCCAGTTGTCGTAGAATAAAATTGTACTGAAATTCGCAGTTTATATTAATTTTCTCGTAAAAAATCTCATAGATTTTCCGCTGAAGTTTCAGGCAAAAGTTTTTAACAGTAACGGCTGACGGATGCACTTATTATTTTCATTCCAGTTGTCGTAGAGTAAAATTGATAATAAAATTTACACTGTTAGAATTTTTTTGAAATTTCATGGAAGATATTATAGTAAATCTCATGAGAGTGGCGTTGAATCGAATTTAGGGAAAAAACGGTTATGAAATTTCGTGTTTCACATGAATATTCAGGAACAAAATGACATGAATTTTCAATTTTTTCCTAAATTTTCCTGATTTCTTTGAATCTTCACAGAATAATTGAACTGAAAAATCAAGTATTTTATTAATTTCCGGATCATTTGACCAGAAAATCAATGTAATATTTGATTTTTCAATGACACGGCTTCCTGAAATTGCAATGGAACTTGAACACGATAAAAATTATTCCAAATTATGAAAATTTTTAACAATGCATATTAATTTTCTCGTTGAAAATTTCATAGATTTTCCGCAGAAATTTCAGACAAAATTTTTTAACAGTGCTGTCTGACGGATGCACTCCCCTCAATAATCAATACAATTCACATCAATTATTTGTTCGATTTTCCGTTCACAATGCCGACGAATCACCAGGTGTCTAACGACGTCATAATTACCGAGCTAGCAACTGAAGAAAGTCTATCAGGCAGTTTTATTGCTCTCTCAATTCGGCATTGTCGATTATTCTCGTTCGGACTTCAGACGGTTCGGTTTTACTCAGACCGATTGTCTGGAAGAAGGGAACAAAAACAGTGGGTGTGAGGTAGAGGTTTCTGCAGACGGGTGGGTAGACAGGCAGACAGGCGGAAAAGGTGGCGTACCCCTGTTGCCAGTAGCAGAGAGAGATCGATTCGCCAACGGAAATGGGCGGTTTGACGGAGCTGGACAAAGCACGACCAGTGAAATTCCATGGGATGAAAAGGAAACTGCAGAGATTAGAGAATCAATGATTGAACGGCGATAACGAGTCATATCGAGTATCGGAAATGTGACAGTTCGACTGGTAAATGAAAAATTGCGGTGAATAGATTTTGCGGTACAGATTTTCTTGGATTTTATGTCCTTTCATTCGCAACTTCATAGCTCACTATTTTCTGAAAAGAACTCGCAATACTCGAGTTTGATTATGAATGATCCCCGAATGAGTATGTACGAAGAACTCAAAGTATTACCTACCACTGGAGAAGAAAATGCTTTTGTGAGAAACT